GCAAGTGCACATTGCCGGCTCATGTCCAGTTCTTCAACCTCCACGATCCCCAAGTCCTTCTCCCCAGGGCTGCTCTCAGCCGTTCATGCTCCAGACTGTATTGCTGTTGAGGATCACTCCAGCCCAGGTGCAGGACCTTGCACTTGGCCTTGTTGAACTTCATGAGGTTGACATGGGCCCACTCCTCCAGCCTGTCCAGATCCCTCTGGACACCATCACCTTCCTTGGTGCTGTCACCCACAAAAGCTGCTGAGGGTGCGCTCAGTCCCACTGTCTGTCGTTGGTGGAATGACATGAAATGACTCCTGATATCCTCCATTCCGAAGGCGGCTGGGATTCGGCAGCCTGGAGTGAGGCTGTTCTTGAAACGTGGCCGTTGCATGCTGCGCGGCCTTACAGGTGCCATACATCTCAGAGGTGTGGAGGCATTGCCGGAGCGTTTCCCCAGAGTAACCGTGGTTCCAGCTTCCTCCTGTCCCACTGTCCCTCCCTGCCACACGTCAGCTCTCATCCCAAGGCAGGATTTTAAGGATGCTACAGGAAACTGCTCCTCCGAGGTCCAGGTCTTCCTTCCCTGACTGCTGGGAGGCCATCACAGATGAAAGCTGAAATGTGAGGAAATTAATCCCGTGTTTAAATTCCTGTTCAAACCCACAGATGGGCTGGAGAGGGGAGGCTGCGCGCACGGGGCTGTTCACTCTGTACGTGAAAATAACTCCAGAGATTTCCTGCGGTGAATCTCCTCACCTAAAGCCGATTTCTTTTTTTCCCACGTACCTGCTCCGAATTCATCTTTATTTTTTCTGGATGTCAGTGTCTGCAAAACTTTAATTTGCAGGAGCCAGCTTGCTGTCGGAGATAAGCGTTGTGTTATTTGCGTCGTGTATCCTGCCTGCTGGAAGGAGCCTCCTCCGCTGGAAGTGCTGGAATGAACTCATGACAAAGACAAGGAATGAAAGTCTCTCTCAAATGCACTTGCTGGCATGACTTAAATGAGCTGAAATTGCTGACATTTTGCCTTTTTCAGATACGTGTCAGTGTCCATAGACTTTTATTTCAAACAATGGAAAATTATTGAGTTAAGTGTTGCCATAACAACAGATCCAGGAGACGCCAAGTGTATGTTAGGTGAAGGTTACTGCGGTGTATCTGGGTCCTGCAGTACGTGGGTTGTAAAGGCAGAAACGTGCAATCTCTAACCTCGGCTGATCTCGTGAGACTGAAGAGTACCCCCATTTCAGATGCCATAATTCTGCCTGGAACTTTTTGCTTTTATGTTGTGTTTAATTTGGATGGGCTGAATATTTCCTCTGAAAGAAAGGTTTCATGACAGGTCATTTCACTTGAGCCAAAATATTTCCTTAAAGACAAAGAAATTCTTTTCCTGCGGGTGGATTCTCCCATATTTGTGTCTGTAGCTCTGCTCTGGACTAAGACTAAATTTAGAACAAGGAACATTTTCATGTTGAAGAGAATCAGAGCTCTGCAGCAGCTTCACATCTCCACAGCCAGAAATCTCTAGTTGACAGAAGTCTTGGTTATTAAACACGCGGCGATAACACCGTCTGAGGGCTGTGGTTAACCTAAATGTCTGAGTCTGTGCGGTCAGTGTCTGTGTGTAGGTTTGTCACGCTGTTTGTTTAGATAACCAGGGAATCCAGGATGAGAATCCCCATCTTTCTCCCGAAGCAAGTTCTAAAGTGTGTTGTGCCTGGCAGCGGCTGTCACCTGCTCCGAGCGGCCGCTCAGCTCCGCACCACGGCCGAGGCACCGAGCTGCCATCCACCCACCTCCCACATCTTCCTCTTGATAGCTGGCGAGGTGGGATACGAGCCAACCAGAGGTGAAAACACACCATGAAAAGCTCGAAATACCTTGAAATAATTTATTGGATGTCCAGGTAGCAGCTCGTCTAACAGATTCAGTTTCTCCTCTCATTGAAACCAGCACCAATTTAAAGCTTCTCAGTTGCTAACCGCTGATGAATAAACATTGACAGTACCTGAAAATCTGAAGTTTAATTCCTGCTTTTATTGCAAATTTACACTGGCAGCTGTAGTCAATGAATTTCAAATTTACTCTGTCGCTTACTTTTAGAAAAGAGTTTGACCCTAACATTTTCAGTGAGTGGAAATTCACCCCTTATGAAATGAGTTTTGTCTCATTTTTAATTGACAAATCATGATTTATCAGCTAGCGACACCTGTGTCCGTTACCCGTCCGTGCTTGGTGACTAGATCAGCAGAGCAGCTGGGTGTGAATGTGTGTGTTGTGGCTCTTCCCTCTGTAATCCCCGGTTCCAGATATGGGGTTCACTTGCCCTTTCTGTTGATCTATTGGAGACTCTTCAGGCACACAGAGTACCCCCAGACTCGCTCTGTTATCCATTTTGACTCCTGCTTTGAGTGACTCCCTGGAAAATGGGAGTGTCTGAAGCACCTTCTCTTGTCCCACGCTTGCAGAACTCGGGTTTGCAGGGCTGGACTTGGGGTTGCAGGGCTGTACTCGGGTTTGCAGGGCTGGACTCGGGGTTGTGGAGCTGTGCTCTGGTGCCTTTCTGAAATGGGGGTTCAGGGTGTGAAGCCACCCACTGCAGTAGGGTGCTGCGCTGGGACTGGAACCCTCTGGTCTTTATTTCCTGTTAAAAGCCTGTTTCACCCAGTCCAGTCTGTGGCGCAATGGTAGCATGGCTGCACAGAAAGAAGAGCTTCGATGGTGAGCCTTGGGTGATCCAAAAAAACCAACGATGGACAGCTGCTAGGTTAAGTTTTCCTCCCATGTTTCCCAGCTACACGAACTGAACTCTCTCCATCTCTCCCTTTCAGGCATCTTCCCCGCTCTCCGGCTGGTTTCCAGACTGATCTCTTCGCTCGCTGATGTTTAAGCCACTTGTGAAGGATGCGGACGCTGGCACCGGATGCTGTCTGGCTGACAGGGAGGTAAGATCACCCTCCTCGCTCCTGTCCGCACGCGGCACAGCCCAGGCTTGGTTAATCCTCTCTGCTCTGTCTCCAGCTCTCTTTGGGATGCTCATCCATGCGGCCGCTCCCTCCCTCCCTTCCCTGCTAACCGATGTCCAGAGTCACTCCTCTCGCTTTTAAAAAAGAAAACTGCTGCTTGTTAGCTGCACAACTGTGCGTTACGCTGGGTTCTGGTGGGTTTGTTTCAGGGGACACAACCTCTCCTCTCTGTGGTGGTTTTTTTCTGCATCACTGATAACTCTCATCTTTATTTGCCAGCCTGCAAACTTCTGTGCTGTTCGCAGATCCTGACAGGAGCCGTTTTCCGGCCGAGTCTGGGGAAAATACAGCCTGGCTGCCAGGCCTGCTCCTGGGCTTTGCAGAACTCGCTGTAATTACATCCAATTGCTCTCGGTTCTAATCTAGGAATCATTTGTCAAGAACTTTCTAACTTTTAATCCACTTAATATCGGTTTTGTTAATGTTCTCTTGCGCTGTTTTTTTCTCACACTGTCGTGAAGTGATAAATCAAACGTCCTGCGCAGCCCCTCCGCACTGTGGCTGCGCTGTTGCCTTTTGAACTTCACCAGGAGGGGGATTGCGTTTATATCCTTTAATTCTGTATTGATCACATCCCCTCAAATGTCATCATTTTGCCCGTGAACAGCTCTGTGGGTATGTGGAAGAAGTTGAATAGTTGCAAATACTAATTTTCCCCCAGCCTCCTGGAGTCTCTCCAGGTTCAGAATAAATCACTTTAGGATCAGAGTGGCAGAGATTTGTCCAATTCTGGTTGAAGGACCTTTGACCAAATGTTACTCTGTAAAAACATTTATGACTAATGCATCTTTGAAATCATCAGAGGCCTGAAAGATGTCTTATCCCCTGTGCTATGAAAACATCAAACAGTTCTTCCCGTGCTCAGTATTTTTCCAGTTTTACCATTTTGAGCTCTGGGTGTGCCTGTAGATTTTGTTCACTGTAATACTCCCCAGCATTGCCAGCTGTGAGGTTCCACTGATGGTTTGGTTTACGGTTAGAATTTAAATTTACAGTTAGAATTTAAATTTATATTTAATTTTTATATTTAATTTTTGACAGGTGAGTTTTTCTAAATAGATTTTCCTTCTACTGTCCCCAAAGAACGCAACAAAATACATACGGGAGTTTTTCCTGCCCGAGAAGGGAGACTTTTAGCCTTCCTAAGAGCCTGAACCCAAATCCACAGAATAGTTTGAGCATCAGGTTAGAAATCAGATGTTCCTTAGGTCAGACCCAGTCTCTCGGCTCGACCTGCAGGTCACCCGGGTTTTTTGTTAGGGCTAACAGCAGGTGCTCGCGTCTCGGGCGGGTGATCCGTTTCTGTCTCAAGGCAGCTGGTGTTGCCCCATGATGGGAACAGTTTCTCTCCGTGGGCTGTGGCCGAGGCCGAGATCAGGTATTAGCAGGGCTTGGCCACCTCCGTGTTAGCCGTGGGACGCAGCCAGCAGTGCCCATAAAATGTCACGGGAGCTTAGTGTTCAGCCCACGGTAGTTTGGAGATTGCAGCCTGAAGTGTAAATGTTTTTATTAACCTTTGAAATACAGGGCAGCTGCGTCTTTCTCTTCTGGTCTGCTCGGGAGTAGCTTTAGGAGCACGTTTTGTTTGGGAAACGGCAGTTAACTGCTGCTTTTTTTTTTTTTTATAGCCGACTTCTCAAAAGCCTGCGGAGGAGATGTAGGATCTTCAAGCAAATTCTGGCGGCTGGAGTTTCCCAATAACAGGTGATGCTACAAAAATGGTTGTGTGTTGGCTGTAAAATTCTAGAGTTTTCTGATTCTCTTGCTTGAATGTTTGCACCGCTTGGGCTCAAGCTGAGAAACTCATAAATATTTGGGGGTTTTGTTTGTTTTTTAGATAAAATTATTTGACCACCATGAGTTGGAGTTTTCTGACCCGTCTGTTAGAGGAGATCCACAATCACTCCACCTTTGTTGGCAAAATCTGGCTGTCGGTGTTGATTGTATTTCGGATTGTCCTAACTGCCGTGGGAGGAGAATCCATTTATTACGATGAACAAAGCAAATTTGTCTGCAACACGGAGCAGCCTGGCTGCGAGAATGTTTGTTACGATGCTTTCGCTCCCCTTTCGCACGTGAGGTTTTGGGTCTTTCAGATCATTCTCATTGCCACGCCGTCTGTGATGTATTTAGGCTACGCAATCCATAAAATCGCCCGCATGGTGGAACACAGCGAAGCCGATAGAAGAATCCGAAGCAAAAGCTTTTCCATGCGCTGGAAACAACACCGTGGCTTAGAGGAAACGGAGGAGGACCACGAGGAAGACCCGATGATGTACCCTGAGATAGAGCTGGAAAGCGAGCGGGAGAATAAAGAGCAGCAGGCCCCTGCCAAAGCCAAGCACGACGGCAGGCGGCGAATCCGGGAAGATGGACTCATGAAAATTTACGTGCTGCAGCTTCTGGCGAGGACTACGTTTGAAATCTGCTTTCTGGTGGGGCAGTATTTGTTGTACGGCTTTGAGGTCCGCCCCATCTTTGTGTGCAGCAGGAAGCCGTGCCCGCACAAGATCGATTGTTTCATTTCCAGGCCAACCGAAAAGACCATTTTCCTGCTCATCATGTACGGGGTGAGCTGCATGTGTTTACTTTTGAATGTCTGGGAGATGCTCCACTTGGGATTCGGCACAATCCGGGACACGCTGAACAACAAGAGGAAAGAGCTGGAAGACTCTGGTACCTATAATTATCCTTTTACCTGGAATACTCCATCCGCTCCTCCTGGCTACAACATCACCGTCAAGCCAGAGCAAATGCAATACACCGAACTGTCCAACGCCAAGATGGCCTACAAACAGAACAAAGCCAATATCGCTCAGGAACAGCAGTACGGAAGCAACGAAGAAAACATTCCTGCCGACCTGGAAAATCTGCAGAGGGAAATTAAAGTGGCTCAGGAGCGCCTGGATCTCGCCATCCAGGCTTACAACAACCAAAACAATCCCAGCAGTTCCAGAGAGAAGAAATCCAAAGCAGGCTCGAACAAAAGCAGTGCCAGTAGCAAGTCAGGAGATGGGAAGAACTCTGTCTGGATTTGACGTTGGCTGAGTTTATATATTGTGGGTTTTTTTCTCCTAGTTCATCATAACCAGCAACCCCTCGAATAACGGCTTCCATTAAGTAAATATTTGACTCTGTTTATTTTCAGGGATACCGTTGGCTAGTGATTCGAGCTCTCAGAAAGGGTTTGTACACATATTAGTAGGATTCTAGAACTTTATTCTTCTGTCTTCCAAGTCAGGAGACAACTGGGTATATTGAAATCATTCTCATTGAACGGTTTATGCTGTATGTACAGTATTCTAGTACATTTATTATGCACAATTTTTTGTATTTGTACACTGGATCTCTAAGTTTCCCTTTTTTATATTAATGAGGAGAAAGCAATGGGTAGCTGTTAGCGTTTGGCTAGTTTTAGTACTGTGGTCCACAGTTTCGTCGTCGTTCTTCCTTGTTTTAAACGTAAAACTTTTCTATGCTGCGTTTCCAAAGTGCCTTGAACCGTGCACAACAGCACAGAGGAGCCTCCGGTTATCCAGGCAGCCCCCGGGTGCCAGTTGCTGAGCAGCAAAAGATTCGGAAAACATCTGTTAATGGTGCTCTTGACTCTGTCTTTTACAAAAAAAGCTGTGCTAGTTATCAGATGGAAGTGTCATACTCGAGCTTCTATGTGCTGTAGGGGTTTTTTTTTGCCCGATGGAAAATTACTTACAAGAAAAATAGACGTGTGGGAGAGTCCTTGTGTTGAGACCGAGTGTGCCAGCCGTAACGCGGAGAGGGCTCAGGCCTCCCCGCGAGCTTTACGCAACAGGAGGGAAGAGAGACTTCAAACTCTTGTAAGACAACCAGAAAAAAAGGAAATCGAAATTACTGGATTCAGTAAATCCACATATTTCCGTGATATCTATGGACAGAGATGTTCTGGAGGTCTGTTGTTACATAACACCCCGCTCCCCGAGGGCATGTGGTTGTTCCGGTACCTTTTGGAGAAGATTTTCTGTCTTTTCCACAGTTAATCTGGTTGGATGGAGTCATGGTAATTTTGTTTCTCTGTGCATTAGGCTCGAGGAAGAACCTTCCTCCCCCCCAGCCAGGACAAACGAGCTGTCTGGAAGAGTTTTTACAAAACCCTTTCTGAATATCAATGCTATTGCCTTATCCCAGACCCCTCTTCCTTCCATTATGTCCGAGGAATTTCCTTCAGACAGAGCAATACGTATAATTTAGATTTCTGCTTGAGAGACCAGTCGGCTTTGGCATTCTGTGGTTTTTGGCATTAAACTTGAATTTAGAATCAGCAGGAGGAAGATGCGGAATTTGCTGCCTTTGGCGGTGTCTTTTTGGCAGGGCTGTGCACAAACGTTGGAGCGATGCTGAGAAACGCGTGTGCTTTTTGCTGCTTTCTGTGATGGATTCAGGACCTTGCTCTGCTCTTTTTTTTTTTTTTTTTTTGGTTAGGCTTTCGTGCATTTTAACACATTTTAGGGGCCTGTTTTAAGCGAGACTGTTCTGTTTCGAGGCTACCTCAGTCCCCAGCGCCCTCGGTACAGCCTGGCCAGGGGCAGGATTGAGCAACGAGGCTCCGTGGAGGGCGCAGGTAAACCTGTCCTCCCTTCCCGGCCCGCAGAACATCCGAGCGGAGGCTTTACATTAGATTTAAACCAAGGGGATACGAGCACACGCTTGCAGTTAACCTATGCCCGAGCACTTGCTGAAAACGGGTCTTTTGCTGAATTATTTTCAGTCTGTTCTCACTCTGGGACGCCAGGCAGTCCAGGTGCAGGTCCCAGCTCTGCTTTAGAGAGACGTTTGTGTGCCCAGAGCCAGCGCAACCCTCCGCACGAGGTCAGCGAGAGCTTCTCTGGTTCATCTCCAGCAGAGATGTTTGGAAACAAACTTGGTTTTGTTGAATTACCCCCTGGGTGCCGCTCCGGGAAAGGAGCAACCTGTGGATTTGGTGCAGGAAAGTTTCAGGGCGATGTCTTTAAGTAGCAGCAAGTAGCAGAGCGAGCACGCGGCGGTTTTGGAAGGGTCGGGCAGGGGGAGCTGGGCGGCAGAGCTGGGCGGCGCGGTGGCACTGGCTGCGCGGGGCGAGAGGAGGTGATGAATAGCGCTGCGGTGATGAACGGGGCTGCAGAGGGGCACGCTGCCCTGCCAGCAGAAAGCTGTGAGCCTGCTGGAGAAGTTGGGTGGAAAACACGTTGGAAAGTGCTCGGGAAAGACATTTGGAGCCTGGAGATAAAGGCGATGCGTGGCGGCAGTCCACCCATTATCCCCCGACACTGGGGTTGTTCTTTTCCGCTTCCCCAAAGGCTGACGTTGCTTTTAACCCGTTGGGGTGGGTTTGGAACAGCCTTTCACCGCCCGAACGGCAAGAAGTGAAAATCCTCTCCCCTTGCTGCTCCCTATGCAAACGGCAGCGGTTTCTATCAGTGGGTTCAGATGAAATCAGTTCATGCCAGCTGCTTCCCCCGATAGTTTATGAGCCCTTTCCCAATTAACGATCTAAACCATTGCCTGCTGGAAGCTGCTGTCTCAGGCCAGTCCTGTGGGCGTGTGTCCGCACCAGTAAATCCATCCTCCCGCTAGCGAGCAGAGTGTACAGCATATTCCAATCCCAGCACTGAATTCATTCCCAAAACGCAAAGTCATGGAGCTGTTTCTGTTACTGGTTTATTTTGTTTTCATTTTAATGGTGTATAAAGAGCACATTTTCTTTGAAACTGAGTGTTTGTTGTTAGTAGAGGATGTCTGTTAAAGCTCTCGGTGTTCCTGTCTGTGACTGTATTCAGTTTCAAAGTATCGGGCTTGATTTTTCCTTTTGAAGAAACGATACGTGCATTACTTTACAATGCTCTCTTGCTTTGGCTTAATGTGGGCCATTCCGAAATAAACCTTCAGAAGAGACTTTTGGACAGAAAATACTGAACATCACTCGGGTTTGTCGTGTCATTCTCTGGTTTTGGATGGAGTTTGCGGGGGGGAAAAAAAAAAATCTATTAAATCCAGTGGATTACTTCAGCCTGAGTGTGACGGTTTCTTTTTTCCAGCGATAGAATGTGCTCCGAGTACGTGCGTGAGGGAAAGGAATATTTTAATGATTTGTTTTAGAGCCATAACTTGGAATTTTTATATATTTGACCTTGTTTAGTGTAATAAAAGGGTCGATTCAAAACTCTGCCTTTCTGCACGCGAGTTGCTCTTCAGTGACAAGAACAATCGCGTTAAAAAAATGATAAACTTTGCAAGTCAGACCTTGAGAAGTGTACCGCTTCTGAAAACATGAGAAATCTGCATTTCTGCATATCAATGAGCATGCTGAGATTGTCCAGTGAACTGTGCCGCCGTAGCTGGCCTCATTTAGCCGGGATTTTCAGTGGAACATACGGGAGCTGGCTGCCCAGCCCCATTTGAAAATCGCAGCTGAATGCCCGTCTGTTCTGCCATAACAAAAGCTGGCTTTTGTAAGCGTCCCGTGCGTTCCCCTCGCTGCAGATTTGGCCTCAAAATCAGAAATATGTCGTTCAGCGGTTTGCTGTGTTGTGCAGCTTCAGGAGAACTGGAAGGGAGGTGGATTCGGTGGTGTGGGCTTGGAGTAAAAAGCTGCTTGTTGAGATTTAAAGAAAAAAGCAGCCGTGTAGGCAGGGATAATTCTGTTCCTGCTCATGGAGCACGTTGGGTCCTGAGCCTCGGCGAGGGCTGTAACGGCAGGAATCAGTGCTGGCGGCCGAGGCAGGATCCAGCAGTAATAATTATGTGTGTTCTTTCAACTCTCAGGTTCCCTGAGCATCCTGCAGGCTCCACAGACCGGGAACCGCCTTCGGACGGGCACCGCCTTCGGAGAGGGGAGCAGCCGGGCGGCAGTCGCCAGCTCCGTGCCTGGGCAGGGTGACACCGGCTGGAGCCGCGCAGTGCTGGTTTGAGCACAGGGATAACCCAGGGGCTGCGGCGGGGCCGGGGCTCCTCCCGCGTCACCTCCGCTGCTCCAGAAGGACACTGGACCTCGCCGTTATCTGTAAGCACGCGAGGATCGCTGGATGAGTCAACGCAGGCAGCTACGGGTAGCCAGCTGAGCACGTGCTGAAGGGTTTTAAAGCGCAGAGGCCTTCATTTACCCACGGATTTCAGAGAAAT